ACGCGCGTCGAAGGCGCTAACGGCGTTTCGAGGTGACCCCTTCGTCCAATGGTAACGGAGACACACACAGACACAGATTCATTTTTATAAAGTATGCAGATTGCAAAAACGATGGCGGCTTTCGCCAGTTTTAAGCGGCCAAAATGTGCATTCAATGATGTGTAAGAAGAGGCTATCAAGCGTCATATTCACAAGAGTTCTATATTTGTTTTTGTGATCGTACATAATAAACCTGATACTATTTCTAGCCAACGAGTACACGTACATTTACAGTTGGGAACCGCAATGCAGAGAGTTTTGATTTTAACAGGCACAAGCATTCTGGCCTCAACTGTGAATTATACTCAACATAAATTTTCTTACATACCGACGATTTGGCAATGACGATGCCCTCCAAACTTTATATAACATCCATGTAGTTTTTTAGAGAACTAGTGGGCTGGGGTGCGTTATTTTACCTAATATACAAGAAGCAAGGCTTCCTTATGGTCACTTTGTTCGAGACGTTCCACGATCACGAGAGTGTTCATGTTGAGCTTCCACGTTCTAAGCAATGCTATGTATGCCCGTCCGTAATGTCGGGACATCATGACGCGAGGTGCACGTCAAGCGTTGCTCAAGGTCACGGACAATTGGTCACCCCTTTCTTTGTTCTGAGTGATCAGCCTTCGATCCTGGCCAGCGGCTCAGCCCTGTCCTTATTCTGATTGGCCAGCATTCGGCCTATTACGTTTATCCCACACCATATACACAGCGGTGCCAGCATGATTCGCCACTTGAACTGTGCCTTCTTCCTTAAGTACACGTCCTGCCTCATACAGTCCTCTGTATTGCTTACATGATATTCTGCCTACAGGCAGCCTTCTGTTTACATACATAACATTCGTCCTGTCTACAAACTGCCTTCCGCTCTCAATACATAACATTAGCGACGCAGTGTAACGAATATGGTTTCATTATTACCTACACCACCACCTTTATGGCCCAAAAGCGCTCCGAAACCTTCAAATAATTCCTGGTTGCAATGGAGGATTGCATTTGAGAATTACATTGAACTACTTCCACTTTTGATGCCTGCTGCAACACTAGACGTTATGTCTAATTTGAAACTCCTCCGCACTCATGTTGAAAAGCTGGGACAGCGTTGCTTCCATGCCCTAAAGTTACAATAGTCTGCTGATATCCAAACAACAGTAACAAAGCTAGAAACAATGTGGGGTGGAAAAGATAACATCTTCCTGAGCCGCTATCGGTTTTGTCAGATGCGTCAGGAATCCAGCC